GAGAGAGAGAGAGAGAGAGAGAGAGAGAGAGAGAATCAGGCAAAAGATGTATCCTAGTTTCTGACCTAGTTGGACGTCACAGAGTGTCCTTTCTGCCACATTCTTTTGTTGCACAAAGTCCTGCTGAAGTTCAAGAGGAAAGGAATTAGAGTCTACCTTTTGACAGCGAGTAGTAAGGTTGGAACTACAGTAGCCATTTTTTTCAAAAATACAACCTGCCACACCCAGTACACAAATGCAGAATTTCGAGTGTCCCCAAACAATACAGGTACTTAACTTTCCATACACAGTGCACTGAATTTTTCCATTGTATTTGGTAGAAAATGCTGGTGATGACCCACTGCATTGATTTCTTCACTGCAGTTTGAGGAACATATCACAAAAGCATGCAGGTTGTCTTTCCTCTGCTATAGTCCCGCACATAGCATATGTTCTTAGGCACCTCACTGGCTGGCTTTTTATATGTTTTAATTAACATCTATGAGGTGTGATAAAAAAATACAGTGAATGTTTAAATTTTAAAAGTTTTATTAAAGACACATTGCCACTAATCCCTCTCAGAATACTCCCCCTCACTTCAAACACACCTATCCCATTGTTCTTGCCACTTTCTGAAGCCATTCTGGAAGTCCTCTTTTGTGAGTGTGTTTAGTTGCACCGTCATGGCTGCCTTGATGTCCTGAATTGATTCAAAACATTGACCTTTCATGGTCGTTTTGACTTTGGGGAAGAGCCAGAAGTCGCCCGGTGCCAGATCTAGTGAATAAGGCAGATGAGGACACACCTTAATGTTTTTATTTGACAGAAATTATCATATAGCAGAAGCAATGTGTGACATGGAGCTTTTCCGTTGTGATCACAAAATACGGTGAATGCTGCTGTGGAGCACCGCCCAACAGAAAGTCAGGGATCTTCAATACGGGAAGCGGCACTGAACTTTAGTAACTGTGTGACAAGTTTTCGGTACAGGCAGTGGGGTGTGAGCTAAGGTTGACAGAAGGTGTGTTTTAAAGTGTGCTATAAATCATCCTCCATCATGACAATGCTCCGTGTCACACATCACTTCTGGTATACGACAATTTCTGTCAAATAAAAATATTACGGTGTGTCCTCATCCAACGTATTCATCGGATCCCGCACCCTGCGACTTCTGGCTCTTCTCCAAGGTCAAAATGATTCAGGACATTGAGGCAGCCACGACAGCGCAACTAAAGACACTCACGAAAGAGGACTACCAGAACTACTTCCGAAAGTGGCAAGAACAGTGGGATAAGTGTGTTCCAAGCAAGGGGGAGTATTTGGGGTGGGGGGTAGAGGGGGTTAATGGCAATGTGTCTTTTACTGGAATAAAATTTGTAAACATTCACCATATTGTTTGATCACATATAGCGCTTTCTGAGTAGCAGGCACCATCGTCATTTAATCCTCATGCCAGCTCTGAAGTAGGTACTAGGATGACCCTCATTTTACGGAGGAGGAAAGTGAGGCACAGAGGGATGACGTTATTTACCCAGGGTGATACAGCTAGTAAGTGGCAAAGCTGGGACTGGAATCCAATAAGTCTGGTTGCAGGCTCCATTTTGCAATGCAGCCTCCTATCAAATTTACTTATCTTTCTTGGGTCTCCCATGTTGCACGCGCCCAACCTAAGAAGCAACGCCAGTTTCAGGATATAGCAGCCGCTTTCCAGTCTGCGCAGACGCATGAGGCAGGACTCTCAGAGACACCTCCCCTGCGCCGATTGGCCATCGTTTATGACTGACAGAGGATCCAGCAGTAGGCCAAACCGGAAAAGGCAGTTCCTCATTTGCTGATGACTGACGGAGGATCAAGCAAATAGAAATGGACCTTTTCAGAAAGGGGACGAGCTTCTTGGGCAGTTAAATTTGCGCGGGCTTGGCTCTCGCGCAGTCATGGCGGCTTTCCGCGACATGGAGGAGTTATCCCAAGGGCTGCTGAGCCTGCTGGGTGCCAACCACGCTGAGGCGCAGCAGCGGCGGCTGCTGGGCCGCTACGGGCAGTTGATGGAGCGGCTGCTGGAGACTCAAGACGGAGCCGAGCAGCAGCTACGAGGTGAGGGCCGGGGCCAGGGCCGGGGCGCGGCCGGAGCTATAGTCCTTGTGATGGGAGAGGGCGGCCAGGTCGGCATCTCAAACCCCTCCCGGGTGCCTCCATCCCCTGCCCTATTTCCGGTGGGGCCAGTGGGCGGGCGCTGCTCACTCTGAGCCTCAGTTTCCCCACCCTTGAAATAGGCTTTGGGACAGCAGCCACCTCCAAGGGTTTAGTGGTGAATATAGGAGCAGGGGGACTCCGGGTTTAAATTAGGGCTCAGGAGTCAAAGCGCCGGGTTTGAAACCCAGCACCCCCACTTCCTGAGGTTGTTCAGATGTTTCACTGAGCACCTGCTGTGTTCCAGGCGAACAAAACAGATAAAATCCCTTAGGAGGCTGATATTCCAGTGGAGGGATCACAGAGAATAAACAACAAATTATGGATACATCAGGATATGATGGGCTAAGGAGAAAAACTAGGTGTAGGGAGGAGTGGTGATGTTGGGGGGCGGGGTCAGCGAAGGCCTTCTGAGATGATGTTTTAGCAGAAACCCCAAGGAGATGAGAGAGGGAGCCAGGTCTATGGTGAGGATTAAATAAATTGCTGTGGGTGAAGTGCCTCCTACTTTACATGGAGAAGAACACTGGAGAAATAGTACCATTGTTGTCAAATCTTAAGAGACCATCAAATGTAAGACTCAAAGGTAAGAAAAAAAAGCTCTGCTAATAAAAGTCTTAATATGCCACAGAGAAGGCTAGATCCAGCCTTTCCCACAGGTGAGGCCCAGATCCTCTGACCTAGATTTCAGCTGTAAACTCATGAGCCCAGTTGTCTCAGTCTAGTGGCTTCCCACTCAAGCCTCAGTTTCCTCATCTGTGAAATGGTACTGCTGATAGAACCCATTTTTGCTGCTATTTTCAGTGCCATTGTGGTTTTTTTTTAATACTACAACAATTTTGTGTGTGTGTTGTAAAATAGACATAAGATTTACCATTTTAAACTTTTTTTTTAATTGGGGAATTGGGGGGATGGGAACAGTGCTGGGGAATTGGGGGAAGGGGAACAGACAAGTTGCTGTCCTTTTGTTCTTCAGTCTAGTTGTGGAGGACGTTGCTCACTGGCCCAAGTTGGCACCATCATTGCTCTCTTCCCGGGCGAGGCAGATCAGTCGCTGGCTTCTGGACGGCCGCTCACGCTGGCTGCTGGCCGCTCACGCTGGCTGCTGGCTACACACGGTAGCCCATGGCAACCCACTGCCACAGGGGCTGCAGCCTACGCCGTCGCCGGCGACTCATGTCAACCCAGCTCCAGGTTGAGCTGTTGTTCAGCATCTTAGCTGTAGAGGGCAGTGTCACTGGCCCTCATATGTGGGATCCGAACCAGGGCCCTCTGGCGTCCCAAGCCAGCTCTTAACCATCGCGCCACTCGGCTGGCCCCATTTTAAACATTTTTAAGAGTACAGTTCAGTGGCATTAAGTACATTGTGCAACCATCACCACCATCTATCTTTTTCCTTTTCTCAAACTGAAACTTTGTGCACTAACTTCCCATCCCCTCTCCTTTCCACTTTCTTTCTCTGAATTTGACTCCTCTAGGGACCTCATCTAGGTGGAATCATGCAGTATTTGTCAATTGTGCCTGGCTTATTTCACTCAGCATAATTTCCTCAAGGTTCATCCATGTAGCATGGGTCAAAATTTCCTTTTTAAGGCTGAATAATATTCCATTGCATATATACGCCACATTTTGTTTATCCATTTATCTGTCAATGGACACTTGGGTTGCTTCCAACCCTTGGCTATTCTGAATAATGCTGCTATGAACATGGGAGTACAAATATCGCTTTAAGTCCCCTGCTTTCAATTCTTTTATGTATTTTTCAGGAATGGACTTGCAGGATCAAATGGTAATTTGAGTTTAATTTTTTGAGGAACTTCCATTTCGTTTTTCACAGTGATTTTTTTTTTTGTGCCAGGGGTTTTGTAATGCCTATTTACAGTTACATTTAATGAGGAGGTGCCGTTTGGGTTGAGACTTGAATGACCCGGGAGCTAGATGTGGGATGGCTCAGGGAAAGAGCATTCCAGGCAGACAGGACGAAAAGGCAGGGTCGTGAAGTGAGGGCGAGTTTAGAGACCCAAGGGAAAGAGGTGGAAGATGAGGGCAGCAGCATCCAGACCCCACCAGGCCTGAGAGCCTCCACGAGGAGTTTGGGTGTTCATCTAAGCAAGAGGGATGCCCTAGTCAGCGTCTTCCCCCTCTTTTCTCCTCCTCTTCCTCTCTCCTCTTTTGTCTTTCCTCCTATCCCCCCTCCATTAACTCCCTCTCTAGAGATGGTTGGGGAGAAGATCAGCATCACCCCGCCTGCCTGGGTGTTAGCACAACGGATGGATTTGGGGCTGGAGAGAGAAGAGTCAGTGTTCTAGGGAGCTGGGGCTTTGAGTCAGACAGATCTGGTTCAGATCCAGGTTTCAGAGTTGTATGCCTGTGGACAAGTCGCGGAACCTCTCTGGGCTTCTGTTCTTCACCTCTCAAATGGCGAGGGGAGTTAAGCCACCTCCTTCAGAGCGTTGTGAGAATGCACTGAGTAGGGCTTCCAGGACATCCTGCACACTTAGCATACACTCAGGAGGTGAGTGAAGGGGCAGGAAGGCTGCATAAGAAAGCCAGACTCTCAGCTCTCGGAACAGGAAATCAGCAGGCACCACCTCAAACAGAAAAGTCAAGAAAGAGCAGCATAAGCAAATTATTTAGAAATATGAAGGTCAGTGCCTGAGAAAGCAGTGCCTGCCTCAGAGGGGTGTCCCATGGGTTCGGGAGTGTCCCATGGAAGACAGGCAGGCGGAAGTCCAGGACTGTGAAAAACATGGCGTGTTTGCAGAATGAGATATCTTTGTGGCCAGAGTAGAAAGAAAAGCATGTGGCAGGGTTAAAAGTGGGGAGAAAGGAGGCTGGTAAGGATGGTAAAAATGCTCAAAGGGACCTGGACCTTATCCTGGAGACACTGGGGAGCCATGGGAGGTCTTAGAGCAGGGGAGTGACTTCACATTTGCCTCTAATGCAGCCACTCTGAAGGCAGAGGGCAGAAAGGATTGGCAGATTGGCAGCAAGAGAGACCAAGGCAGGACATGGTGGGGAGGCTGTCCCGGGTGGCCCTGGAGGGACAAAGGACCTGCACGAGGGAGGCAGGGGGACCTGCTAGGCCTGGATGGCCAATTTGACGCAGAAAGTGAGTCAGTCCCAGGCTTCTTGCTCAGGTGACAGGATCAATTGTGATATTATAAATTAAGACTAGGTGTGCAAAGAAGGACCGGAGTGTGTGTGCGTGTGGATTCTAATGTGTTTCGGTGAAATGGCAGCACTTAGGCAAGGTCCAGGTGGAACTGACTGATGGGTGTTTGGAAATAGGACGAGCAGGTTGGGGAGCTGCAGACAGGGAAGTGGGAACATTTGTTTTTGATGGGGGTGGTTGAGGCCACAGGCCGGAGAACTGCCCTCTGCTCCTCGGGCTCTCCTGGGGGAAGGGCAGAGCCTGGCCGGGGAGCCAGCGTTGAGGGGGGTCTGCCTTCTCCCACCCTGCAGAGATCCTTGAAATGGAGAAGACTGTAGCCCAGAACCTTCTTGACGCGAAGGAGCAGGCACACCAGGGGAGCACCAAGTTGCAGCAGATTGAAGCCGAGCTTCAGAAGGCCAGTGAGGAGGATGCTCAACTGAAATCCAGCCTCTTATATCCTTTCCTGGTGCCCAAAATGGTTTGGCCTCCGCCTCACCCGAGAGGCGCGAGTTCGTTTACGCTAGAAAATAAGCTTGGAGCCAGAGGCCCTGAGCCCCATGTGGCTGATGTCGGTACCTAGGCAGTTCTCCCTCCAAAGCCAGGGATCCTTAACTGACTGCTTTACTCAGCTCACCAGGGAGCTAGAGGACCTCAAGGAGATCGAGGCCAATGTCGAAAAACAGGAGAAGGAAGTTGACGAAGACGCAACGGTCACTATCCCTGCAGCCACGTAGGTCCCGTCCCACAAATGCCGGTGTGAGTGTGGCCTATGTCTTTGTGTGTTCAGTCCCATAGCTCTGTTGGGGCTGATGCTGGGGTAACTTTCTGTTTAACTTTCATTTTTTGTTTGTTTCTTGTGTAGGTATGTGGCTCAACTTTATCACCGAATTAGTAAAATCGAGTGGGATTATGAGTGTGAACTGGGAATGATCAAAGGCAGTATCCTTTGTGGAAAAAAGGGACCCTGTGCACTGGTGGTGGGGATGTAGGGATGTAAAAGGGTGCAGCCGCTGTGGGAAACAGGATGGTGGATCATCAAAATGAGACAGAATCACCATGAGATCCAGCAATTCCACTTCTGAGTGTAAACACAAAAGAACTGAAAACAGGGACTGGAACAGATACTTGCACACCCATGTTCAGAGCAGCATTGGTCACAGTAGCCACAAGATGGAAGCAACCCAAGTGGCCCATTGATAGATGAATGGCTAAACAAAATGGGATGTACACATACAATGGAATAGTATTCAGCCTTAAAAAGCAAGGAAATTCTAGGGCCGGCCGAGTGGCTCGGTTAAGAGCTCGCTCAAGAGTGCAAGCTCTGAGCAACAGCGGTTCAATGCCTGGCCCGAGCTGAGCAGCCGCTGAGCTGCCAACAGGTGGCAGGATGGCTCAGCTTAAAAAAAAAAACAAAAAACAAGGAGATTCTGATACATGCAGCAACATGGATGAATCTGGAGGACATTCTGAGAGAAATAAGTCAGTCACAAAAAGACAAATACTGTATGATTGCACTAACATAAGGTCCCTAGAGGAGTCAAATCCATAGAGACAGGAAGTAGAATGGTAGGTGCCTGGGGAGCAGGTGGGTAGGGAGTTAGTATTTAATGGGGACTGAGTATAGGTTTGGGAAGATGAAAAAGTTTTGAAGATGGGCGGTGGGGATGGTGGCACAACAATATGAATGCGCTTAATGCCATTGAACTGGACACTTAAAACTGGTTGAGATAGTAAATTTTATGTTATGTGTATTTTACCACAATTAAAAAAAAAAAGATAGAGCATTATCAGTTTTAACTTTTTCCTCACGAAAATTTGTTTTAGTCTCTAAGTTTTTTCGCCGTGAGGTTGTGGGAGGGCTGTGTGTGGCAGGTTTCCTTACATCCTTGCCCTCAGTTCATCACGGCCCCAGTGTGGCCCAGCCCATCCACCTGGACAGCACCCAGCTTTCCAAGAAATTCATCAGCGACTATCTTTGGAGTTTGGTGGACACGGAGTGGTAGCCAAGAGCCTCGTGTGTTGTGACTTGCACACAGTGGGAATCATTTGTGGTGGGTGGTTGGTGCCTTGATGGTGAGATAAGATTAAAATTAAATGTTCGTACATAAATGGGATTTTTACTGGATTTCAGCCTCAGATGGTGGACGGGCCTGGGCTAGGTCACCATAGAGAACTGACTTAACTGCCAGGCCTGTGACTTCACATCTGTGACAACGCTACAGATGGCACCATAGTATATGATGACAAATTCCAGGTCCTTATCATTTACTATTCAAGTTTGGCCCTTTTTTATTCATTCAGGGTATGTCTTTGAGTGCCACTGTGTGCCTGAACTGTGCTCAGTACCCAAGACACAGATGAAGGTGACAAGGACCCCTTTCACCCATGGAAGAGGCAAGCGTGAGCAGATGCCACCATTAATGCCTGGTTAAAACACATTTCCCAGCCTTCTTTGTAGCTAAGTTCAAGCCAATAAAATGTAAGTGGAAGTGTTGTATGAGACTTCCAGAAGGCTCTTTCAAAGGCCGGGGAGTATCCCCCTTCCCTTCCCGTCTATTTTCAGGAATTTGGGTGTAATGGCTGGACTCTGGCAGCCATACTGCCACATGTAAGGAAGTGTGCAGTCCTCGAGGGATGATAGGAAACTGGTTTCCTAATGATGGGAGAGCTGGTATCAGCTCTGGACTCCTTGTAGTGGAGGGGGATCCTAAACTATCTTGTGTATGCCAATGTTATCACAGTGTTTCTATCACAAACAGCCAAAATAAACCCCAACTGATTTAGCACACAACCTAGACCAGGGCTGGCCAATCGATGTGTTCATCTAACCCTTATCCTCAGTGATTTGGATACTACTATGAGTGGGAAGCTTGTGGCCTGCCTGCCTGAGGGGACAGAGGAAGTAGAGTCCCACTGGTACATTTAGCCCACTGGATACCACCTTGGCTGAAGCCAATGGATTAGCTAGTTACATGAACCTTTGGGTGTTGGGTTCCATGCATCTCTGTACAACTAAATTGTTTACAATAAGCATAATTAGTGTTTTAATCAGAGAGGGACAGTCTAGGCAGAAGGAACGATAAGTTCTAGCAGCATCTGAGCACATTCCAGTAGGCACTGAAAACATTCCATTTCAGTGACCCATGGAGGTGCTTGGCAAAGAAGCCTGCCTGTTGGGCTCCAGGGAGATGGACCCAAAAAAGAGGGCTCGATAGTCTGTCCCTGAAGCATAAAAAGCCCTAGTCCATTTGGCTTGAAAGATTCCCAGAAATACTTCAGGGGCCCCTCTTTAATGCCAGGGGCTTTACATATTCAAGTAAATGTTCACAGCCCTTCCAGGCTACTTTCATTTTCTAGGTTGGTAGAGTCTTATGGTGTGAACTGGGAGCAGAGCCTCCCATCCGTACCTTCGCACTTCGGCCTTCAAAGGGCAAAAGACTTGACCTAGACCAGGGTTTTCTCACCTCAGCCCTGGTGCCCTCTGGGCCGGTCATTCTCTAGTGGGGCAATCCTGGACACTGCAAGACATTTAGCAATATCCCTGGCCTCTGTTGCATTATAGCCAATCCGTTACCACCCCCCTACATTAGCCTCTGACCCATTAGTCGAGNGGGAAGGGGAACAGACAAGTTGCTGTCCTTTTGTTCTTCAGTCTAGTTGTGGAGGACGTCGCTTCACTGGCCCATGTTGGTATTACCACTGTGCTCTTCCTGGGCGAGGCAGTCGCTCGCCGGCCATTGGACAGTCGCTCGCAGCGGCTTACGGCAGCTCACGAAAGCGCACACCAGCTGCTGTCCAGCCCCATTGCAGCCTACACGATGCCACCGTTGCCTGCGACTCACGGCAGCCCAGCTCCAGGTCGAGCTGTTGTTCACCATCTTAGCTGTAGAGGGTGCAGCATCACTGGCCCTCATATATGGGATCCGAACAGGGGCCCTGCTGCTCAGAGCTGGCGTCCCAAGCCAACTCCTAACCAACGCACCACTCAGCTGGCCCCTGGAGAGCTTCTTAACCTGAAAATCTGGGGATGGCCTTCTGGGGTCCTAAACTCAAAAGCTACACAAAATCCCAAAATGAAGGGATATTGGGTGCATTTTTTCAAGGAAGAAGCTCTCGCATTGGTTTTGTCAGATTTCAAAGGGACTTGTGACCCAAGGAAGACTAAATATATTAGACCTAATTATGTCCCCAGCTACACGACCACTATAAAAATATAAAAACCTGAGCAGCCCCTGAGGTCTTGCCAAAAACTATCTCATGGAAATGAACTTTGAGGAGAAAGGTGGCCCCAGGCCTGGGGTTCAGGGCCTATCAGATTCCTGATGGCCAATTGAAATCACATTTCCTGACAGCTTTGTAGTAGCTTCTTACCTCCCTTCCTGCCTGTGCCTTCTCTGTTTTACTGGCTTCTTCTCTTCTCTACAATTTCTACAGTTGGAAGGTCTCAGAGCTTAAGCCTTGGACTTCCTTCTCTTCTTACCCTCCCCCAGGGTAATCTCATCTGGTCTTTGGACTCCAAGATTTTTTATCCCCAGCCCAAATGTCTCTGCAGACTCGTACTCGTATAGCCAACCAACCACCTTCTTGATAACTCCAAGTGGCCATCCCCCAGGCATTAGAAACTTCTCCAAACTGTTCATTTCATGCAACCCTTCACTCCAAGCCTGCTCATCCCCCTCTTGACCACTAGTACCACCACCATCCAGGTATTCGGTCAACACCCAGGAAGCGTCCTTTTTTTCTTCCTCACTCTGCACGTCCAGTCTGCCCACAAGTTCTCTCAGCTTCAGAAGATCTGGAGCTAGTCCACTGCATTCCTTGCCCCTATGTAACACCTTTCAATGCTTCCTGTTACACCAGAAACAGCTTCAAGGCTCCTGGCAACCATCTCCTTCACTCTACTCCAACCATGCCAACCTCCTCACTAGCCCTTAAATTTTTTCCCACTTCAACAGCCTTTGCACTTACTCTTTCTTCTGTCTGGCAATTTATATCCCAGCACCTCTTTATCACTCAGGGAGTCCAACCCTGACCACCTGACTTAAAGTCACTTTCCTTCCCTGACCCAACTCTAATGACTCTATCCTATGACCTTATTTTATTGCCTTCATAGCAGGTGTTTCTGTCTTCAAAGACCCTTTCACTTGTTTCCTTGATTATTATGAAGTCTTACCACTAGAGCAGTGACTTCCATTTATTTATTTATTTATTTTATTTATTTGTAAACTTTATTGGGGAACAATGTGTTTTTTCCAGGACCCATCAGCTCCAAGTCAAGTTGTTATCCTTCAATCTTAGTTGCCAGGGGGCACAGCCCACCATTTCATGAGGGAATTGAACTGGCAACCTTGTTGTTAAGAGCACATGCTCTAACCAACTGAGCCGGTCACCCTCAATTATTTATTTTTATGTGCCCTATGGTAAGATACAAATTTCACATGTGACCCAGCCATCCAGGTGTTACGGCTATGTGATAAATTACCCCCAGATTTACTGGCTTTAAACAATGGCACTGATCTTGCTCACAGATCTCCATTTTGAACAGGGCTTGGTGGAAACAGCTTATTTCTGCTCCTTTTGGTATCAGTTTGGATGGCTGAAAGGCTGGTGACTGGAATCATTTCAATACTCACTTACTTCCTTGTCTGGTGATTGGTGCCAGCTTTGGCTGGGAACTTATCTGGGACCATCAGGTTGGCTTGGCTTCCTCACAACATGGCAGCTGGGCTCAGAGAGAGAGAGAGAGAGAGAGAGAGAGAGANCACAGGATGTGTTGGAACACAAAGGGAATGCTAATGGAAAAGGTCTTAAGGCACACATAAGTCACGGGTTGCTGAGTCCCTTGGTCTCGCTCTTAATCTTACTTTTGTCTCTTGCTCTTATTCAATCTGCGTCGCCCCTTAAGAGAAACCTGTATGCCCTTGCCACGCTGGACGTGACAGGCCTCCACCCTCTAGATGCCAGGAGCACGCGCACGCCCCTCCCGCCCCCCATTGTGACATTCACAAGTGTCTCTGGCTATTGCTGGTGTCCCTAGGGCGTGCCACACACAGCTGCCCACCCACCTTGCAGCCTCATCCAGGAACCAACCAGGCATTGGTCCGTGGCCAGCTGAGTAGCAGCTGTCACCCTGGTGGCCATTCCTGCTAACAGCTGGCCTCCACCTGCTCATCTGTGTAGGTGAAGGTGCCAGGAGCACCCCCCCAGCCCTGGTAGGCCCTGAGGACTTGTTAGAATGGAGCCAGCCCCGCTGAGAATCTAGGGTGGGAGACCAGGCATATTTTCCCTATACCCAGACAGAGTGCCTGGGAGAGTGCAGGCGTGGGGTTGGGTTCCACTACAGAAGAGGCCTATCTGTGCCCCTGGCCCAGGGCCTAATCCCCTGTGGGCCTGCTCTCCCACCTGAAGCAATCACCTGGTTTTTTTTCTGGGAGCAGACCAAGGAGACATTGGCCTGCCTGGAGCTCAGTTTCCCCAAGAGGAAGGTCCCTTTAGGGAGGCTGCGTGAACCCAGGCTCAGAGGGGCTGTGTCCATCTGCCTTTGATCCTCTAGCCTCTGTCTCCCCAGGCAGCCCCAGGGACTGACCCAAAAGAGTGAGCAAGTAGGAGAGGAACGTGGCCTGGCAGGGCCCTGGCTGGTGGGTGGGTTCAGGGAGGTGCCTGAGCTCGCAGGGACCGCGAGAGGCCCTGGCCCTCGACATGCCTGGGCCCTGACTCACTGGTGCTGGCCTGACGCCTGGGACAGCCAGCGGGATAGCCTTGGGCCCACAGCTTCCAGCCTGCACGCCCCCCTTTCCCCCCGCCCCCTTCTCCCCTCTGAGCTGCTCAATTGGCAGCCACCAGCTCTTGTCCGAAATTCTGGAGGCTGGCCAGAGGCATGCCGAACACAAAGCCCAGTCCTGCTGGGGAAGGATCAAGATGCGTGTCCCCAGGACCAGGATGGAGAGAACCAGGTCACCAGGCTCCACACCACCCCTATTCCTAATCTTGCACCCCCTCGGGTCCAGCAAGGGCCCAGTACCATCCCAAGGGGATGAGGAGTATCCATTTTCCAGATAAACAGGCATGGCAGGGTTCAGTCAGTTGCCCAAAGTCACAGGACAAGTGATGCCCCTGGAGTCTGAACCCCAGCAGTGGGGTCCCAGGGTTTCTGGAGGAGTAGTTTGGCTTTTCAGATGAGAAATAGCCTCTGAGGCACCTGCCCCTTGTCCAAGGTCACACAGGTAGAAAGAGACCAAGCAGGAACTGGAACTTGCCCCTGCACTTGGACAAGCTCTAAAAGGTGATAGAATTAGACTGAGGTCCTAGATACTTAAAGTCATTATTGTCGGTGATTACGGGTCAGGTATCTGCACACCCAGCCCACTTGGCTGATAGTTGGTGTTTCTGGGGAAAATAGCCAAGGGTATATTGAGAGGCCGAACCCTTCACCCTGGACCTCTGCCAAGCTTGGTGAGCTGAGGATGGGGGAGGCCGGGACTGATCTGGGGGCATCAACACAAAGATGCTTGCGTTCCCCGTGTGTGGCCTGCATTGGTCCATCCTCACGGCCCCAGGACCTCCCAATGGCCTCTCTGCCTGAGTCAGAAATGTGGGCTGCACATCTGTGACCTGCCAGCCCCCCTTCAGGGAGCCACGCTCCAGTGGAGGCCATGACAAACTGGGGTCGAACAAGTGCTGTGTGCCTGGCTCCGTGTTTCCTTACAGGTGAGGAAACTGAGGCACAGAGAGGCCAAGCTATTTGTGTAAGGGTTTGCAGCTGATGGATGGCAGAGCTGGGATTTGAACTGGATCCTGAGCTTGTGCACATAACCCTGACCTACAAACGAGGTTGTTTCAGTGTGTGATAAACACTTGCTGTTGGGAGGGAAGGCTCTGTAGGAGGCCCAAGGAGGAGATGTCATGTGAGCCCAGACCCAAGCCCGCAGGGGACAAAAGTCAGAGGCCAGTGTGGAGGGAACCTTGAGGTCCAAGGGGCCTGATCACGCTGGGCCTGCAGTCCAATGAGACATGGGGAGGATTTTCAGGTTCCGGGGGGCACCACAGTTGGGGCCTGGTAAAAGGGAGCGTGATGCTGGCTGGACTCTTGACACAGGTCACAGTGCAGAGGCCCAGCCTGACTAGGGCTGGTCTCACTATGAACCCCCAAGTTCCCCCGCTCCATTTCAGGCAGCGTGGGAGAGGAGACCAGGGTGAGCAGAGCAGCTGGGCTGGGGAGGGTGGGGCTTGGGAAGGAGAGCCCCTCCACCCAGGGCAGGAAGCCACACTGAAACCTGAGCTGTGGGGAGGGGAGGCTGGACTGGACCCAGGAGTCCTGGGAGCTGGACCTCCACTTCCCCGCACCCAGCTGACCTGTTTGATTGGGTGGGTGATGTGACCTGTTCTCTCACACTCAAAACCCTCAGCCGCTCATCCCTTCATGATCGTGGGAATTCACTTCCTGGGGAGAGGAGGGGAGTAGGCGTGGACCCCCTAGTGGGGGATGGCCAGCTGGCCAGGGCAAGGGGGTTGAGGCAGCCCTCCCCCTCTTCCCGCCCAAGGACCTGGGCCCAGCCCCGCAGGCTCCAGCCTGACTCACCGCAGGCAGCTGTGGTT